GTTCTGCTGTTCCTGGTGATCAAGCCATGAGGGACCGTTCTGCTGTTCCCTGATCCAAGCCGCCAGGGACCGTTCTGCTGTGCCTGGTGATCAAGCCATGAGGGACCGTTCTGCTGTGCCTGGTGATCAAGCCATGAGGGACCGTTCTGCTGTGCCTGGTGATCAAGCCATGGGGACCGTTCTGCTGTTCCTGGTGATCAAGCCATGAGGGGCCGTTCTGCTGTTCGTGATCAACCACCCCACAACCAAACCCCCCACAACCCACCCCCACAACCAACCCCCCCCCCCAGATCCAAGCCATGAGGGACCGTTCTGCTGTTCCTGTGATCAACCGCGGACCCCCCACAACCCAACCCCCCCAACCCACCTTCTGCTGTGCCGGTATCAAGCCCGAGAGGACCGTTCTGCTGTGCCTGGTGATCAAGCCATGAGGACCGTTCTGCTGTTCCTGGTGATCAAGCCATGAGGGCCGTTCTGCTGTTCCTGGTGATCAAGCCATGAGGACCGTTCTGCTGTTCCTGGTGATCAGCCATGAGGGACCGTTCTGCTGTTCCTGGTGATCAAGCCATGAGGACCGTTCTGCTGTGCCTGGTGATCAAGCCATGAGGACCGTTCTGCTGTGCCTGGTGATCAAGCCATGAGGACCGTTCTGCTGTGCCTGGTGATCAACCCGAGGACCGTTTGCTGTTCCTGGTGACAGCCAGAGGGCCGTTCTGCTGTTCCTGGTGATCAAGCCGCGAGGGGACCGTTCTGCTGTTCCTGGTGATCAAGCCGCGGGGACCGTTCTGCTGTTCCTGGTGATCGCCAGAGGACCGTTCTGCTGTTCCTGGTGATCAAGCCACGAGGACCGTTCTGCTGTTTCCTGGTGATAAGCCATGAGGGACCGTTCTGCTGTTCCTGGTGATCAAGCCATGAGGACCGTTCTGCTGTTCCTGGTGATCAAGCCGCGAGGGACCGTTCTGCTGCCTGGTGATCAAGCCATGAGGGGACCGTTCTGCTGTGCCTGGTGATCAAGCCATGAGGGACCGTTCTGCTGTCCTGGTGATCAAGCCATGAGGACCGTTCTGCTGTTCCTGGTGATCCAAGCCACGAGGGCCGTTCTGCTGTTCCTGGTGATCAAGCCGCGAGGACCGTTCTGCTGTTCCTGGTGATCAAGCATGAGGACCGTTCTGCTGTTCCTGGTGATCCAAGCCATGAGGACCGTTCTGCTGTTCTGGTGATCAAGCCACGAGGGGCCGTTCTGCTGTGCCTGTGATCAAGCCGCGGGGACCGTTCTGCTGTTCCCAGTGATCAAGCCGCGAGGACCGTTCTGCGCGGTGATCAAGCCGCGAGGACCGTTCTGCTGTGCCTGGTGATCAAGCCATGAGGGACCGTTCTGTGCCTGGTGATCAAGCCATGAGGGACCGTTCTGCTGTGCCTGGTGATCCACCATGAGGGCAATTCTGCTGTGCCTGGTGATCAAGCCGAGGGGACCGTTCTGCTGTTCTGGTGATCAAGCCGCAGGGGACCGTTCTGCTGTGCCTGTGATCAAGCCGCGAGGGACCGTTCTGCTGTGCCTGGTGATCAAGCCACGAGGCCGTTCTGCTGTTCCTGGTGATCAAGCCATGAGGACCGTTCTGCTGTTCCTAGTGATCAAGCCATGGGGACCGTTCTGCTTCCTGGTGATCAAGCCAGAGGGACCGTTCTGCTGTTCCTGGTGATCAAGCCATGAGGAACCGTTCCTGCTGTTCCTGGTGATCAAGCCGCAGGGACCGTTCTCTGTGTCTGGTGATCAAGCCATGAGGACCGTTCTGCTGTTCTGGTGATCAAGCCATGAGGACCGTTCTGCTGTTCCTGGTGATCAAGCCATGAGGACCGTTCTGCTGTTCCTGGTCGCGTCTTGGGGAAAAAATAACAGATTTTATCGTGAATTATACTGTCTGGGTGTTTCCTCGCTGGGGAGATTTGCGGTGTGTTGCCTGTCTCTCTGTCTCTGTCTGTCTGTCTGTCTGTCTTTTTCTAGGTTAGTGGTTTGTGTGTTATGTCTGTCTATCTGTTTATCTGTCTCTATCTCCGCCTGTCTCTCTTTTTCTGTCTGTCTGTCCTTTGATTTAAGTTCTTTGAGATTAACCCCTCCTCCTCTCCTCCTCCTCTCCCCCTCTCCCTCTCCTCCCTCTCCTTCCCTCCCTCCCCCCTCTCCCCTCCCTCCCCTCCCCTCTCCCCTCCCCCTCCCTCCCCTCCCTCCCTCCCCTCCCCCAATTTGGTAGAAGAAGCAATCTTAGGGTGAATTTTTCATCTCTGTGTTGACATTCCTTTGAGATGAATGGACTGGCCAATCAGGGTCGTCTTGGAAGATTAGTGTTGTGGTTGGTTGGCAGGTTCTGTCACGCTATTGGTTGATAACTCACCACACTCCTCCCTCACCACCCCTCATCCCCACCATCCCTCCCTCCCACCCCCCTCCCCTCCTCCCCTCTCATCCCTACCACAAACATCAAACCCTCACCATAAACATCTTCTCCACCACCAATCTCCACCATAAACATCTTCTCCACCACCAATCTCCACCATAAACATCTCTTCACCACCAGTCTCCACCATAAACATCTCCTTCACCACCAGTCTCCACCATAAACATCTCCTTCACCACCAATCTCCACCATAAACATCTTCACCACCAATCTCCACCACAAACATCTTCTCTCCACCACCAATCTCCCACCAATCTCCACCATAAACATCTCCTTCACCACCAATCTCCACCACCAGCCTCCACCACAAATGTTTTTTTACGTGTCATGAATGAGTGAGTTAACTGCAGGGGGTCATGTCTGGGCACAGTATTTAGTCTGTTTCACTAGTTTCATCCTCCTCCCTCTCTCCTCATTCTCCCTTCCTATCCCTTCCCCTCTCTTTCCTCCCTTCATCTTCCCTCATTCTACCTCCTCTCCTCCCCTCCTCTCTCACCTCCCCTTCCTCTTCCTCTCTTCCCTCTCTCTTCCTTTCCCCTCTCCCCTCCTCCTGTTCCTCCCTACCCAAACCCCCTCTCTCCCCCCCCCCCCCCCCCCTCTCTCTGTCTCTCTCTCTCTCTCTCAGTCGTAATGTTTATATCTGCAGTAAATTCGTCGCTTGTTGCATTAATGAAAACACATTACTCTCGCTTCATTTGGAATATGAAAATGTGTTTACTAACTATGAACTAGCTACACCATTGGTTATACGAGTAGGTGGGGAGCCTTCGTCAGGACCACTACTACTACTACTACTACTACTACTACTACTACTACTACTACTACTACTACTACTACTACTACTACTACTTTTTTTTTAAACGTGGCCTCAGCCTCCCCAATAGCCACACCTTCGCCACCATTTATTTACCTTAATATTAAATATCTAATACATAAGAAACTATCCTATCTGTGTTAAATTAGTTGAGCCGCAGATCTATGCGGCATTCAGTGACTGTAGCCTCATAGTCGATATCTGCAGCAGTTGTTGGAGTAGGGGCAAGCTCTCGTTCCCCTGAGGCAAACCGACCGAAGGAGAAGGACAGTCGACATCTCATCCAGGCTGTGACATAACTTCTGGGCTGCTGCTTCTGTTCGGAGATCAGCTCCGCAGAGTCTGGCGTAGAAACATCTTGCACTTGGTCACATCCCACCAGAGGTTGTGAACACTAGAGGAGTGAAGCTGCCTTGATCCAACATTTGAATTCTCCCCCCATATGCCTTCTCTTGTCGTTCTCGTTCCTCCTATGCAGCATCGAGAGCTAGAGTTACGGTGACAAACGGCCATGGGATCAAAAATCCTGATGTCAGAAAGCTCGCTGTCCCCGCGTCCAGAATCCTCAGCACTGACGTCCACACACGGGCTTCGTTAGATGTGTTTGAAGTCCTGTGTTGGAAGATCTCGCCATCCAGTGGAGAGGGTCGGTTCTGACGTCCCGGCAAGATTTCCTTCAACATATTTCTGTGAGATCCCCTTACCTCACGTCATGCCTCATGCTATGAAGCCCTTCTTGCAAACCATGGCGTGATCGCCATCATAGGAATAACCACACACGCATTGGGAGGGCAAAACCATCTACTGGCCAACCGTACCTTAGAGCAATGGCATCTGTAAATTCTTGTTTGTTAAGAAACCATTTGCCCTTATCGGTAACGTAGTTAAGATTCGAGGCGCCCACCTCCTGCGCTATAGCTACTTTTTTGTCAAATTTTTCTGGAACCAGCAGCATAGTTGCTGCAACATGTCATCTTGGCAGTGCTGCCGATCTGTTGTAATGGACCTACGGATCTTATTAACTTCGCTGGTGTCCACTTCCTAGTTGCATTCGGAATTGGTCAGTGAGGCTGCCGTGAGCTTAAGTGAATTTTGATGTTCAGAGTCAAGCAATCTCCTCTGGATTAGTTAGTCCGATCCCTCAGTCTTGGTGGAAGTGCAAAGTGTTCTTTCTAGGGTTAAGTCGTGGTGTTTCACTAGTTTGGGAATGAACTTGACACTGGTGCTTCTTCCAAAGGGTGGAGGAGAGGTCGGATCTCAGGGATGGTACGCATCAGGTAGTTCCAACGATGCTTGACTCCATGTGTGAATGCTACTACTTTTTTTGGGGTGAATTGGCCTCCAACCTCCCATTATTAAGATAAAAACAACAACAAACAAACAGGAAACAAATAAACAAAGGAAAAAACTAAGTGGAAAAAAAAACAGGGGAATAATCCATAGTCATAAAAAACACTGGATCACCTGAAGATTAAACCACCATGACGTTACCTTTGGGGGTTAGGTTAGGTTAGGTTGGGTTTGGGTCGGGTTAGGTTAGGTTAGGTTAGGTTGGGTCGGGTTGGGTTGGGTTAGGTTGGGTCGGGTTAGGTTGGGTTTGGGTTGGGTTAGGTTAGGTTAGGTTGGGTCGGTTAGGTTAGGTTAGGTTAGGTTGGGTCGGGTTAGGTTAGGTTGGGTTGGGTTAGGTTAGGTTGGGTTAATTATGAGGTGAGATAAACTGTGGTGTCATCACTTACTTCTCTTGATCTCCAAACTGAAGGTCTTGTTCACCAGGCTGTTCACCACTACCATCACCACCATTAGTGTTCTCCACATCCTCACTGCTGCTGGGGAGAGTTCAGGTCACCTCAGGTCACAGTAGTGGAGCTCAGACACTGTACAGGTCACTCCAGGTCGTGATAATGGAGGTCAAGCACTCAGGTAAGCACTATTCAGGTCACTATAGGTCACGATAATGGTAATCAAACACTGTGCAGGTCACGATAATGCATGTCAAACAGGGTTAATACACCACTGAACTCTGGAGATCATCTCAAGTCACAATTCCTCCACGTAACAATGGCGCTGGAGGAGGAGGAGGAGGAGGAGGAGAAAGAGGAGGAGGAGAAGGAGAAAGAGGAGATAGATGGAGGAGGAGAAAGAGGAGGAGGAGCAGGAGGAGGAGGAGGAGAAAGAGGAGGAGGAGCAGAAGGAGAAATAAGAGATAGATGGAGGAGGAGAAAGGGGAGGAGGAGCAGGGAGGAGGGAGGAGGAAATCAAGGTTCACAATATTGAAGAAAAAATCACACTTAACATCCACTAAAACAATTACAGTGGATACTCAACACACTATGGCGTATAATCCACTATGGCGTATAATCCACTATGGCGTATAATCCACTATGGTATAATCCACTATGGCGTATAATCCACTATGGCGTATAATCCACTATGGCGTATAATCCACTATGGCGTATAATCCACTATGGCGTATATAATCCACTATGGCGTATAATCCACTATGGCGTATAATCCACTATGGCGTATAATCCACCACTGAAACTACCTCACCACCTGGCATCTCAGAACGATACTACAGTAGGTCATCCTAGAATCCATATCATTAGTTTTTTAAATTATACAAAATATCTATCATCAATCCATTCTACCTGTTGTTAATTAAAGATATAAATTCACCTTTTGAGTCTATGATAAAGAGTCAAGAACAAGAACACCTTAACTCTACACCTGTGATTAATTAATGTATCTCTCAGGTGACACAGGTAGGGTGCTCAGGTAAGATCTTTTAATGAGAGTTTGAGGTCAGGTGAGATAATGTGGTTGACCGTTTGTAGTAGAGGTCATATTCGTAAGTGTTATTTGATTTAAGTTGGTTAGGTTAGGTTTGGTTAGGTTAGGTTAGAATAGGTTAGGTTAGAATAGGTTATGGTAATTTAGGTTAGGTTTGGTTTGGTTAGGTTAGGTTAGGTTAGGTTAGGTTGAGTTAGAATAGGTTATGGTAATTTAGGTTAGGTTTAGGCAGTTTAGGTTAGTTCAGGCTAGTTTAGTTCAGGCTAGTTTAGTTCAGGCTAGTTTAGTTTAGGTTAGGTTAATTTAGGCTCGTTTACATTAATTAACCCAGGTGAGCAAAACATAATTCACCTGAAACAATGTAGGAATATTCACTTAAAATTTCCTCTAACGACTTATCATATATATATTTTTTTCTCATTTTCAGGTAATGTTTTATTTCCTACAGCCAGAATAAATCATGAGCAGAAAACAGGGTAACTTGTCTGTTTTACATTGTGTTTTTTGTGTGTTTTATGCTTGTAAGTCCTGATATATGATTGATTTTTGTGTTTTCTTTTCTCTTTCCATTTTTTATCTTGCGTTAAGGTGTAATTATTTATGATATATTTCTAAGCCAAAATTATTCCCCCATTTCTGATTTTTTATGCAATTATCTGAGTGAATTATATTTCTAAGTCAAAGGAATTGGTATATTTTTTTATTATATTTTTAATTACTTTTGGTGATTTTGTTAACCAAGTTAAGGTAATAATTACTCTATTTGTTAATTATATTTTGCTATTTTTCCAGATCGTTACGTGACACCTTGAGAGCTTCAACACCTGAGGAAAGGTAATTAATAACCTACATTGTTGCCTTATTATCAACACCAAGGTAATTGTTGCTATTAAATAATGTAATTACTTATTTTATTGTTTTAATTATTTCTCGATGGTTTCATAGCACCAAAGTAATTGATGTTATTGAATATAGTAATTACATTATTTTCTTTATTGTTTTAACTGGAAGGTTTATTTTTTATTTTTTTTAAGTTATTTCTGTGTAATTGATGTTGTTAAACCAGGTGTTTTTCTTATAGTTTTAAGTATTTCTGTGTGTGGATTATTTTCATCGAGATAAACCTAATGCTGTTAAAACGAAGGAATAGTTTATTTTTGCGATTGTTTTATGTTTTATCGAGTGGTTTATTTTGCATTAAGATAATTGCCACTGTTAAAACGGGATACTGGTTTATTTTTGTGATTGTTTTAACGATTTATCTTTGGTTTAATGGCACTAAGGTAAGTGACGTCATTAAAACAAGGTGATTTATTTTTTTTTCTGATTAAGTGGTTTAATATTGCTTTATTAGTCCAAAATTGCTAGATAACCAACAATGTTAAAACAAGTTAACTGTTTTGTTTTATTGTTTTAACTATTTTTGGTGGTTTAATGGAACAAAAAATTATTAACGTCATTAAAACAAGTTAACTCCATCGTTTTGGTGTTAATTTTATCCATATTAAACCTCAAATTATTAATTATTGTGTCAATTAACCAAACATCACCTCAATTTATATCTTTAATTATCGTTATTAATTATTCATACAGCACCTTAATTATTTCTGAAATTATCATGACATTAATTCAGGTGTGGGAACTCACCTGTAACACCATGGAACAATAACACAGGTATATTGGGGGGGTAAGGAACCACTGTTGGCAAACCTAACCTAACCTAACCTAACCTAACCTCATGATCAAACACCCTAATGCCCTACCTGCGGGGTTAAGTTAGGTTAGGTTAGGTTAGGTTAGGATATGCAAGGTTTGGTTAGGTTAGGTTAGGTCAACGTATCATCATTAAATAAAACAACACTGAGACGCTAATTGTCACGGGATCCATTAACACCAGGTACAGAATGTTAATTACACTCAACAGTATTTAACACCTTTTCTTCCTCAGACTAACATTAACATTTAAGAATATTTTAACTCAAGTCTTAAAGAATATGATTACTTAATTGACTCACTGAAGCATATGTAAATGAACTTCTAATTTGCATCGTAATTTTCACTTGAAGGGAACGTAGGAAATGGTCTTCATTATCTTCCTTGTTAGTCTGTTGACAAGAATAAAGTATTTTTTTTCATATAGTTTTGTGGATTGGGATTTTATTTATGTAGGGAAAGTATATTTAGTTTCTTCTTACCATATGCACCAAAGTTTTCAAAGTTCACATGGGCGAATTGATGCAATATATATATATATATACTTTGTAAACTTTTTTCAATAATCTCTGACTATTAGAACAACAAATTATCCACATTCACTAATTTTACCATCGAAATCACTAGTAATTATCCATATTTATATATTTCACCAACAAGGTCGTTATATAGTTCTGGTGGTCGTTAGAGGGGGAGGATTTGGTCGGTCACTGATAAACGCTGGAGTGAGTGAGGTCGTATGCTCACACTCCGTAGACTTGAGCCAAACTGAGCCCAGGTCGACTCAGGCACCACCCGTCCACCACCACCACCACCACCACCACCACCACCACCACCACCACCACCACCACCACCGCCACCGCCACCGCCACCACCACCACCACCACCACCATCTATCTATCTATCTATCTATCTCTCTATCTATCTACCTGCCTAATCTCTCGTCCCATTAATGTTTCAACTAAGAGGCATCAAAGGATAGCGTTAATCCAGGTGTTATTTTGCCTCAGCGAGTTACCTGATTGTGTCGTTCTGTCATTGGGTGTCAGGGAAGCGTTCATGGGAGGTATTGGCTCTAGAACACGATCTGGTTAGTAAGGTTGGCTTCATTTATAGCTGGTACAGTGTCTGGTTTGGTTCGGTGTGTGAGATGTGGCAACGTTCTGTTTGTTTTGTTTTGTGAGATGTGGCATCGATGTGTTTGTTTACATCGTATTAAAACAGGAACTCGCTATATAAACCCAATAGTATGCTAAGATGGTGTTTTATCTTATGAAGTATTATTATTATTATTATTATTATTATTATTTTTTTTTTGTTATTATTATTATTATTATTATTATTATTATTATTGGGTGGTACATAATATTTTCTTCCTGTGACGAAGTTCTTCAAGATAAGATGAGATGAGATGAGATGAGACGAGACGAGATAAGATAAGATGGGCAGCTTCTGTCATCAAGCACGTCCCAAGAGACCTTAAGCTGCAGACGTGAGAATCCATGAATATTATCGTCAGACAATCGGAGAGACACACACACACACACACACACACACACACACACACACACACACACACACACAGAAGCCGAGTTGCGTGTGTGTATTTTATTGTTTTTTGATTTGTGACAGAGAGAGAAAGGGAGAAGTAAAATAATCAGAACTCACAAAACCCACCCATAAAGGTTAACTAGTCTTCACAATGCAGAAGATAATAAACCACTACAACTCTCTCTCTCTCTCCTCTCTCTCTCTCTCAAAAAGAAAACAAAGCAACAACAACAACAACAGTACTTCATGACCTTTGTTTGCCCAGAAGAAAAATATTGTTATCGTGAAGTATATCTAAGGCGATTGATACGGTGAAACATATTCCTTAAGGGTGACCAAACACAGGTAATCCTCCTACTCTTCTTCTTCTTCTTCTTCTTCTTCTTCTTCTTCTTCTTCTCGTCCTCCTCCTCCTCCTCCTCCCTCCACCACTGACGCCCCTGATCGCTCTACCAATCACCAGCCGTGTTGGGGTCAAGAAGCTATCCTTCAATTAGATGTTGAAGTGATGGCCATTCTCACTTCGTTCTCTCTCTCTCTCTCTCTCTCTCTCTCTCTCTCTCTCTCTCTCTCTCTCTCTCTCTCTCTAATCCCTGAGGCTAAAAAATAATACCTCCTGGATGACATTAGTTTTGAGTCTCAGGTGAACCTAGATTGACACCTTGATGGTTAGGTCAGGTTAGGTATGATAGGTTTGGTTAGGTTAGGTTTGGTTTGGTTTGGTTTGGTTAGGTTAGGTTAGGTTAGGTTAGGTTGGGTTGGGTTTGGTTAGGTTGGGTTTGGTTAGGTTAGGTTAGGTTAGGTTGGGTTAGGTTAGGTTGGGTTTGGTTGGGTTAGGTTAGGTTAGGTTGGGTTAG